CCGCCATTTTATTGTTCCCATCATGGCCGAAACCGGAAATCCCGCTGGCTTTAGCTCTCTCGACGGTGTTAGCGATCTAGTATTAGGGCCTGCGCACAATAGAGGAACAAGAATTAGATATTAAGATTTCAACCTATCAGAAACTGTGTATTCCGATGTAATCAGTTTCTGATAGGTCAAAATCTTAATATCTAATTCCTGTTCCTCTATTGTGCTCAGGCCCTTAGTATAGACATCTGTGCTATAGACACAACAATGGACACCATGGTACTAACAGCGTCAGTGAGCCGAGCAACAGTGCAACCAGCAATAGTGGTCAGTGTCGTCAGTGAATCGTGGTGAGTCGTATGAGTGAGATATCGGTGCGTTTGCGACACTTCGAAATGTCAATTTCGGCGAAAATTTACGGTAAGTCCGACTGTCACGGCCACGTGAAAGTTGCGCCCACAGTAGTGTTCGTAAACTTCGCAGTTGCATTCGTCGCTATCTGGAGTAATCTGACTTGTCCAATTGGATGCTGATTGCCGCATTTTGTTACATTCTTTTTTCTCAAACCAAAAGTCTGAAAAAAAGTCCTGCGTCGTTTCGTCCTTTCCCTTTCCTTCCACTGTCTTGCCGATATCGCAAAGGTGTGGTGATTAATTGACAGGCTATAAAACTGTCACGTTGTTCTTCCTGTATGTTTATGAGATGGGAAATAGGGAAATAATCTCTCTCTCTCCCCCCTCTCTCTCTGCGTGAATTCTTGATTGATGTGATGGGTGATTTGACAGGCTAACAGATGTTTATTTTGCATATGTATGTACGCAAATCTGATAAATTGTAAATAGCGAGATAATCGGATAACGGAGTTATTATATATACTGATGTATTTGCGCTGTTGCGAAGAGATAACATAAGCATTTGCAGTAGGCAGGGAAAAGCTCCCTCCCTCATTCCTCTCAAATTTGGCAGGAAGAAATAATTAAATTCATGATGGAAGTATAATATAACATAATATAATATAATATATATAAGCAGGGTTGGGGATGTATTAAACATAACATATTATATATGGTTTTTGTACCGTATAATACCGTTATACATATTACATGTACGTTTTATACATATTATACATATTATACGTAAGAAACTACTTGCAGCTCTAAATTACCCAACCTTGAATATAATATAGGTAAGTATAATCGAAAAGAACAAGGACTCTTAATATAAGATATAACAAAATAAATAAAGGAACAGAATAAGAGTCGAAATTACTTTTAAAAAAATCCAAAAATTAATATAATGTCAATACTAACGAATTGTCATATATAATGATACAAATTAAAATAAAAACCGCTTAAATTACAGAATACATATTTTAACAATACTTAACAAGTTTCAGCTCTTGGATTGAGTCTTCTTCAGAAGTAAAATTAGTACATCAGAGAGCGAAAAACATCAAAAAATGGTTCCACAAGTCCATCCCCAGAGAAAGATAAAGTTCCCAATTGGTTGGAAATTCGATTGTAATGAGTAATCAACTATGAAATATATATGAAACGGATCTTTAGTTAAAATTATTTTCTTATACTTCATTAAATGTAGAAAAAACTCGTCAAATCTCTAACAATGGATTCATCAGTTGGAACCTCATACAAACAGTCGATAGCCATAGTGATCTGGCCGATGATATACATATATATAACACTTGTTAAAATCAAAATTTTTCCTCACATAAAATTCATACAAGCAAACGTTAATATAATAAGAACAAGAGAAAATACTGTCTACATATAGCGAGATACAAAAGTTGACAGAGCAAGACGGCAACACGACAATGTTAAAACTTGTTTATAATCAGAATGTACGTTTTATGCAGACCTTCAGTGTTTGTTTGTAAATTGAGACTATTTTTCTGTGAATTTTATGTGAGGAAAAATTTTGATTTTAATAAGTGTTATATATCATTGGGTTCTCATAAAGTTCTGAAAATTTTTTCAGAATTTTTTATTAACTTTTTAGTACTGCATTTTCTTATTTTTATCTACATGAGAAGAAAATAAATAATTTTTGTCTCTTGCAGTTTTTCTGTAAAGTTGATAGTATTTGAGTAAAAAATTATTCAAGACCAATATTTTGCAATTTTTAGTAATTAATATCTTGTTAACTATTGTGAAAATTGCAAAATGGTAAAGGACTTTTCAACTCAGTTTAGTCCGCTTTATCTACACAAAAGTTATCGGTAAAAAAGGTCGGAACACCCCATACATTCTCTAAAAGATAAAAAAGATGAATTTAAAGAATTAGTGGAAATGTTAAAAGAGGTAAAAACTTTCTTCCCTGTAACGAAACATGTCTTGTATACTTCCTTAGTCCAACCATATGGTACACATGAGCACCATGAAAGGTTTTTTTTAGTATATTGCGAAAAAATGAAAATCTAGTTGTAGTTATATAACAATGGCTGCATTCGGGAACGTCGCTCGGATGCCTCCGATGCCTCGGATTCATCATTTGTCCTTGTTTAATATTTAATGTTACAAGATGATAAATTCGAGGCATCGGAGGCATCCGAGCGACGTTTCCGAACGTAGCCATATATATATATATAAATATTGTACATTTTAATAAGTTTCGTGTGAAGGTAAATTTTTGCTTCCTCCCTCTTCCAACTGAAATCCTATCCATAGCGAGTTATACATGCCATGGAATGTGCATATAAAATATGTTTTAAAACGTTACATATATACGAGTTCTACTTTATTCTTGCTTTAATGCCGCGTCTATATTAAAAATCAATGTTTTATAATAACAATTGTAAATTTAAAGAGGTTCAATTATATAATTGTTATATGATTTTTTATTCAGTTGATTTAACATAAATCTCCTATTTTCTGTGACTTTAAAATTTATATATTGATGTTTGTATTTATTTTATATAAAGTACCAAGTAAAACAATGTGGGACTTTATTTTGTTCACATGAGTGTCCATGTTGTTCAACAGTATAATAGATTTTTGTATATCTTTTGCAATATATACGTTATGATATATTAGAAATATTTTTATAACAAAAAAAACGATATTTTTGAAATTGATAATTTTTTACTCTATGATGGACAAATTGATTGATAGTATGCTGTACAGAGATGTAATACTGCAATTAAAACTTACAGGGGTCCTAACTTATATACAACTAACAAATGTCAGTAATATCACCGACAAGATATTATTAAAGACCGTCAACCCTGGGCAAATTTTCGGCGGTATAAAAAGGGCCCCAAGGGCCGGGAGGTAATTCAAGAACGCTGACATTACCGACAATTGATATAAATTTGCTATTATTAATATAAATATTTGGCTCATGCATTATTAAATTCATGATTTTTTATTACATAAATGTCCCATAAATAAATATACATACTTGTAAAGCTGTAATATCCTATATATTGCAAAAAAATCAAAATTTTTTCTCTGCAATTATCATGTTTATTGATAATCAAACTTTAATAATAACACTGAAATCTCAATTTTAAAGAAAAATCGAATATTATTAAGTTATAAATGCATAAATACATCTACTAAACTAATAAATTATAAAATTAGTACAATATTATCAGTTTTTAACTCTTAATTACTTCAATATTCACAAAGACGCGAACTCCCGTAAGGATGTCGGTCTTTAACAGTATCTCGTCGATGGTAATATACTTTTAAGTTATAATTGTTTTTTTATTGATTTAAAAGTTTTTATACAAACATAAACAAAAGGAAAAGAAATTTAATAAAATATATAATTTTCGAAAAAAGTTTGTACAGTAGTTTCTTTTATTTATTTTCTTTCACAAATAAGGTTTAGTATGTGTTTCTAAATAACATATTAAAAAATGGCATCGATATCTTTATTAAAAAATAAAATAACAAAAATTTACATTGCACATTGTTTTTGCTCTATACTTTTTAAAAAATACTGTATATACTATTTATATTATATAACAAGCAATATTTTTTTAGAGGAGTAGAAAGGTGCTATGGCAGCTTCAGTTGTATCATACAACGATGAGGAGGAGTTAAATGCGGAAACGGAGTCAGAGGCCAGTAGTATATATCAAGGCTCGGTAATCTCTACCGTACCTGATCGCCATGGATTTCTAGGCGGTTCACAATACAGTCCAGAAAGGTAATTTAACCTCTTTTTAGCATGATAACATATTTCAATAAATGTTTTAATAAAATTAAATTTTATTGTAATATTATGACTTTATGAAATAGGAAACAATCTATACCACCTGATGTGATATTGCGGAGGGAGAGAAAATGGATACAGATGCTGAACAATTGGAACCTTTTTATGACCACAAATTACCATAAGGTCCGCGAGAGATGCCGCAAGGGTATACCACCTTCTGTGAGACTACGCGCCTGGCTAAACCTATGTGGTGGTCAGCTTCTAATGAACGAGAACTCAAATTTGTATGAAGAATTGATCAAACGGCCCGGTGATCCCAAATACATAGAAGACATCAAGAAGGATCTCCATCGTCAGTTTCCACATCATGAAATGTTCGTCGAGAATGCACCTGGACAGCAGGAACTGTTCCAAGTTCTGAAGGCGTACTCCATTCTGAACAGCAAAGTGGGCTACTGCCAAGCTCAAGCGCCTATTGCTGCATTTTTACTGATGCATATGCCGGCAGTGCAAGCATTTTGGTGCCTCGTTGCGATATGCGACAAGTATCTCATCGGCTATTACAGTCAGGGCATGGAAACGTTGCTGCGCGATGGAGATATTCTCTTCGCTCTTTTGAAAAGAATCTCGCCCGTTGCGTATAGGCATTTAGTTAGTACATATGAATTCTTATGTAAATTTTCTATATAATTATATTGATCGTTTTAGAAAGGCAAATTAAAAATCAATTTTAATTATACATGGAATTTTTTTAATACTGCAATTGTTAACAAAATTTTTATGTTTCTCGGACAATGTAAATAAGAATTTTAGAATAAAATTTCTTTTTTTTTTTTAATTATTATAGACTGATCATATATAAATTATGGATTTAATATTGATCGTATTTATTATTTTAGAAAAAACAAAAAATGGAGCCAATCTTATATATGACGGAATGGTTTTTATGCGTTTACACGCGAACATTGCCGTGGGAAAGTATCTTGCGTATATGGGATATGTTCCTTTGCGAGGGCGTGAAAGTGATCTTCAAAGTAGGTCTGATACTATTGAAAGGTAGTCTAGGTCGCACTTCTCTTACCAAATGTTGTCCAACGACATACGAAACCCTCCAAGTGCTGAGAAATCCATCCCAACATATCATGGAGGAGGAAGTCTTGGTTTATCAGGTGCATATTTTACACAAATACGAATATTACAAAAAAATTACATTTATTATAAACGATATTTTTTAACAAACTATTATATATTATATAGGGTGTTTTCAAATTCGCGCCTGTGAAGTACAAGACGTCATTATTTACGCTAAAAGAAACAATTTTTTCCTCTTGCAAAATTGCATCTGACAAGTAGTTTTTTCAGGAGAGCAGGTTGAAGTTGTACGAGTAAACGCAAAAATTATTTATCGAATGTAATTTTACTACAGGAAAAAGTTGTTCGTTTTAGCACAAAAAACAACTTTTTTTTAGCAAAATTGCGTCCGATAAATAGTTTTTGCAGGAGAGCAGGTTGAAGTCAACAAAAAAAGCGCAAACATTATTTTATCGGACGCAATTTCGTTAAAGGAAAAAGTTGTTTGTTTTAGCATAAAGTATCACGTCTTATACTTCGCGGGCGCGAATTTGAAAACACCCTGTATAGTTAAGTTAAATTTATAATGAGAGATTATAGAAAATTAGTAAATTTATTTCTAATTCAATTTCTTTACATTTTTCAAAGATTCTTATTTTAACTCAAACGTTTTTTCGATTATGGCATTTTTTCCAATGCTTTTGCAATACTTTTTCGATTACTTATAACTTCTTTTTTTTATAAAGGTACATAATTTACTATTATGTTTCTTAACGTCTAGCATCTTGATTGAAAAACATGTCTTTTACAATATGTTCATTTTTATGAAAATTATAAGCAATCGAATTGGGTTGATCTACCATGTACCATGTATCGGTATTGTTTTCATAATGATGCATTAAGGATTAAAATTATGAGATTTTAACGTAACTTTTATGTTTTATAAATAAGATAATATATATAAGAATCTATGAGATATTATATATTATCTGTAACTTTCTTAATGTTGCAGATTCAGAGGTTGAATTTGAGCGAAGAAGATTTTGAATATGAGCATCAGAGGCAAATGTTGAAAAGAAAGGCGGCGGAGAAAGAAACTGCCAATCGAACTGATTGATAATTAAGTAGTTAGATGAAGATATGGGGCGAAATATGACAACATTTTAACGTGTAGCGTCCCAACATGTGCCTTCCTTTCTGTTCTTCTGATAGTGTATAGATTCAGCAATTTGTATGCTAACATACAAAAATTTTTTCGTATTGTAAAATCGAGGGATATGATAAAAAATAGATAGGTACATACACTCTCAAAATAGAAAGTGGTTTTCCATATACTTTGTGCACACATACGTATACATATCCATATTCTCTGAGCAGCTGGAAGTGCATTATTTTTATCTCTATTTCCTTCGTTATTAATCTTCATTATCAATACATAGTCTATTAAAAAAAAGAGCACAATACATTTGCAGGTTCATGTAGTACTACTTAATTATTTAGTATTCTCATTAATGTATTTTTAGTTGATTATCTTTATGATTAATATTATCAATATTTATGTACAAAAATTTATTACATTTTATAAAAATAAAAGTATAGTATATATTATAATATTATACTAAAAATAAATATTATTTTTTGTTAATGCCAATTTATCTTATATTAATCCTTACTGATCGAACGAATTTAATTTTATATTACATCTTCATGCTTAAATAATATAATTTCCTACAAGTACAATATTATTTAATATTAAATAATATTTTAGGCATATTTCTAGAATATTAAACATAACATTTGAAGAATGTTTTACTGAAATTATATAATAAATAATATTCTTGAAATATTAATGGATGGTTATATGTTTACTCCTGATAATATTACATGATTAAAAATAACATTACTTAGTGTTACTGTAATATTGTATGAACATTAAAAATTATAACAACATTTTAATTTGTAAAACTGTTGCACCGGTTTAGTTTAAATGTATGTTTAAAGACTGAAAATAGTTTTGGTATGCAGTAGAATTGGACGTAAAATCACACCGAAACATTATTTAAGCACAATACGCATCACAGACTGATAAGACGTTTTCGTTACTAGATTGTGAATTCAAAGTGCACTAATATAAAAATAATTAATATTAATAAATATTTTAATAATATTCCAGGTTAAAGGAAATATATATATATATATATACACCAAGGATATTTATACAAGTGGACATATAACATCCATACATAGAATACGCTCATAACATTATAAAATATACAATATCCTCAAAATATTATAATAACTTATTTTAATTTCAAATAGATGTTAAAATAGTAAAGGATTAATTATTAAACAACAATATGTAGACATAGGGTATATTATGAGTCAAAATAATTATATATAAAACGTAAGAATTATAATATGTCAAGTATGAAATATATTAATTACATAAGTAATCTATCGTGAAACGCATCACTTCGATACATATAATACACCTCCCTTAATAATTTCATTACATGTTTCGGCTCTTGAATTGAGCCATCTTCAGATAAAAAATTAAAATTATAACCTTGAAAATTAGTTTTCATTTACATCGTCACAGATAGAACGTAATTCGTTGAAAATTAATCAATTTGTACAACGATGTTGGTGAATGCTCTACGGAGACCAAGGATTGCTTGCAAACGATTTGCGGACCGATTGTTTGAAAATCCATGATATTCTGATAAGAATCATATTAAAGTACAAATAAATAAAAGTAAAATAAAAATTAAATAAATTCAGAATTTAAAAAAAAATAATGAATATAAATTAATGCTGAATAAAAATAGGAACTGTTAGATCATTTTATGTAAAATCTGTAAAAATCCAAAAGAAAAAACGTCATCTCTATAAAAACACTCACTACCATGTCTTTTTTTTTATTACTAGAACATAACAGGCGTGCGCTTCGCGCGCGCTACTAAGCTTTTAACATTTATGTAGGATACTTTCCTGCAAAAATATCAATGTCAATAATCTAAATGTCAATAATCTATATGGTCAGATTTTGATTATTCAAAAAAAGGATTCCTAATATGAGATATAAGGGTTTTCTTGTGTGAGGTGGTATCTCATAACGAGAAACTAAGGAAAAAATAAAGATAAACTTTTTATATACACTTTTATTATGTTACATACAAGTAGGAACAAAGAATTTAAATGTTATACATAATAATTATATAATTTTTCAATATGTATGTATGTGAGTACGTTTATGTGAGTCTATCACTGCATGCAGATTTCATTACCTAATGTTTATTTTTGTATAATAAAACAAGTTTTAAAGACTAACCTCAATAAAATTTGACAACATTCAATTTCATAAATCTTTTTTTGCAAAGACTACACGCATGATTTAATAATGAATTTTCTACTAAAGAGGTTTCACGCTAAGAGTAAAAGATTCATGATAGAATCAAACACATGCGCTTATTAGTTTAGCAGAAACCCTGCTATCTCATATTAGGAACCTATCCCATAATAAGCGACTTTACCTTATATATTAGGAGATATATTATATTAATATTTATATATATTATATATTATATGATATATGTTATACATTATATATATATAT